ATGAATAGTTTGATTAATCAAAAGGATTAGAAGAATGCTAAAAAAATAGAGAAAATAACACAAAAAAATTCTACTCCACCCTCCCTCCTCTCAAGATATGAAGGGAGGAATAAAACTGAATTGTATTCATGAGGGAATAATGGAGAATGGAATATAATCATGGAGAGTGCAATGGAGTGGGCCGTTTTTTGTGCATATTTTTGCATTATATAGGCTAGTTGCATGTGTGCAAGCACATGTGGGGCCATGAAAAATAGCACATGTGGGGCCACGAGAAATAGCACATGTTGGGATTATTAAGTATATGCGCCCGTATTCATACATCCTTGTACAAACATGCATGCTGACATTGTTAGGCTTTTGCAAATGACTTAAGAGGTCTTTTAAGGCCCTATAAATGATTTTGAGAGCCTTTGTACATTGGTTTCCATGTGAGGTGAAAGAAGGGAGCTTGTTATTAGATACAGAACACGTCCAGTCTCACGAGCCTTTTAAGGCCCTATAAATGATTTTGAGAGGCTTTGTACATTGGTTTCCATGTGAGGTGAAAAGAAGGGAGTTTGTTATTAGATACAGAACACGTCCAGTCTCACGAGACATGCGAGAAAGCTTATAAAGCCATTAGTAAGGGATTCAATTACTACCAATATGAGAAGTGAAAAACTTTATAAACCCATTATTAAAGAGTTTCTTTAAGCTATAGATCACATTTAAGATGGTGTACAACAATTAGAACCTCCCATTTAAAGGTTCACACCTTCTGGCTCTTTCAAGGAAAGCATGAAGCAAGGAAGGGGTTGGAGTAGTAATCAGGATGGAAACATGGGGAATGGAATAGGTAAGATATGGGATAGGTGTGTATATGCCAACGCGTGAGTGACCAATGATAAATAATGTATATGCATTATTACTCATAAGTATATGTTGATGTATTCATGTGTGCTAGTAAAAGTGTGCACAGTAACATGGATTAGACCTTTTCAAAGGCCTTAATAGCCTTTTATGTTCCTCGAGCAGATTATTAGTCTTTGTACATGATTTGTCATGTGAGGCAAAAAAATAAAAATAAAAGAAAGAAATTTTGTATCTACAAGTTAGAGAGCATGAACGTCTAAAGGCAATAGTAAGAATTCCAATTATTGCATATATAAAAGGAAAAAATAATAATAAATCAATTACTAAAAGGTTTCGTTAAATCATAAGCTCTTTTTGTAGGGATACATAAATCCATTTATTTTGGTTGATTAATTCGAGGTGGGAGGCATGCTAAGTTCAATGTTGCTCATATTCAAATATTCTTCTAATAAGAGAGGATGCTCTACATTTACCTACTTAAGGGGTTTATTTTTATTTTATTTTGGGTGCATAAGTGCTAGCATTCTTCCCTTGGACCGTATTTGTGGTTACCACATATGGCATGGAAAAAAAACGATTGCCCAATGAACTGATCTAGTGACTTAAGAAGGAAAAAAAGCACTAAGTAGGTCTTACAAATAGATTATCAGATGGGGAATGGAGAGAAATTAGAGGGATGGAGAGTGATACAGAGAGTTTGAATGAATGTATACACCAGTCTCTCTCTTATCTCTATCCGCATCTCCCTCGTTACACTCAGTAAAGCGTGGTGCATGAGACCAACCAAATATCTACACATTCTAAGATGATGGGCTGTGATGAATTTAAAACTATTACACTTTTTATCTACGAAAACAGAACACCTTGACACTTCATTCAACTGTGCCACCCATGCTCGTAGAAACACCTAAACAAATCTTGCTAACCAACTAAAATCTGCGGAACAAACGAGTAAAATGCAGCACTCTACGCACTAATTCTAAAGAAAAAGCATGGCCACATAATTAACTAAAAAAAGTGATACGGAAACCCTACCTTTCTTAAGACCAGGACAAATATCCTCTCCACTGAAGACAACTGGGACATCCACTTTCAGTGCCGAGGCCCCGTCCGCCCACACCATTACCAGATTAAGAATCTGCCCTGTCTCCTCATTCTTATGAACCTGCCATAAACCAACCCTAACTTCAATCAAATAAAACAAAAAAATAAACTTAAAACTAAATCACTAGTCTTGCCTTGATCGGGAGAACGGTGCCGGACTGAAGCACCACGGCGGACCGGACACCGGCTCGGATTTGAAGATCGAAAATGGTCGAGGTGAAGAATGGCGAGTCGTGCAGGAGGGAATCAATCTGATGTTTATCAAAGGTGAGTAGCTGCTTCCTGGAAACCGGTGTGCCACCTTCGCTCGGGGCTAGAACCACTGCCGGGATCCGGCCGGCAGCTCGCTCCTTAACCGCGATTCGGCAACCGGTGTACTCCCTTGGTACTGCTTCAATTGTATGGTAACCGCCGACCGCATTTCGCCGCCACAGCGGCGCAGCTGCTCTTCGAAGTAACTCGCCGCTACCTCTCCACCTTGCCATCTGTCTTCAATTGAATCGATTGCACGCCACAACAGCTTCGGAGGATTCAATTGAATCGATTACATGCAA